TTCTTTGTTTGGGGGTTTTCCAAAACGTACCTATGGGCCCACGAAGGGGCGCGGTAAGGGCGGAGCCCATAAAGTTGACATGTCAAGAGTACAACTGACATGACTGCACAACTGACATGACTGTAACAGCAAGCATGCAAAAGCGGCTCAACTGTTTTGAACGGTCAGGGCATGCGTCTGTTTCGAAGTCAGCTTTAAGCATTCGATAATCGGTTGGACTCGGAGTGCAGCCATCCAAAAAGGAGGGCACGATTGCACCTGCACGATTCTCAAAGTTTCGAGATGCAGTGTCCGACCGAATATCCCCAGAAGGAGACTCGGACACTAATCCTTTGAGGTGGCCAGTGTCACCAAGGAAGGCGGGCTATCCTCAGAGAAAGCTTCTGCACTTCCCAAGGGGTCAAAGCCCTCGGATCCAGGAGGCATGACAAGGCCGCCTGAGTAGCGTCCATTCACGAGGCTGACGCAATCGTCGATGCATCCCCTGGATGGTAAATCCGCGGGGTTTGATGACGATGGGACTCGCTCCACCCAAGCATAATGGGGATGATCTTCATCCCAAAGATGGAAAAGCGAAGCAAGGGCCTGCATCGACGGAACTCCCGAGACCGCGCGTATCAGTGTGAATCTTGCCGACTCATTATCGATGAAGTATATGCACTTCCGGCCAGCCAATCTAGCTCGGAGGCGGTAGCGAATGCACACAGCAGCTGCTAGCTCAGCCTGGCATATGATCTGCTCGTCGTCATATCGCTGCCACGAAGAGACTATGGCGGTCGGAAGGGTCCCATCAAATATGTCGGGGGTCCCTCCCATGGTATCTATGACTACTGCACCCATCGTTGCCACGCCCCCTTCGAAGGCAGCATCCGTGAAGATGAGGATCGGGGCGTCCGGCGAATGCCACGATACCTTACGGGGGGAAGATCTCTGAAGAAGGCTCTTAATCTTCTCGCAAAGGACGGGAATTTCCAACGAACTCGCAGAGCTGAGAGCTCGAGCCAGTGGGGACACCGCCCGTCCTAGGACGAAGTTTGAAGCGAAGTTCAGCTGACCTTGCAACACTGGGACGAGTCGGAGATCGCCCCTTCCACTGCCCAGTTCGTCGAGCAGACTCACGATGTGGTCGATGCGGCCGGGCTTGTTCCCGACTTCAAGAAAGCCGAAAGGGCCCACTAGACCCGACAAGTCCAAGGTGCAGCCTAACACATCGAAGTTCCGGTCAAAGTCCTTGGCCTTGTCGGGGTCCGTCGAGAACTTCCAGCCCAGAGCTTTCAGAAGGAAGGAGATGCCATCCGTCGCAGACTTTGCCGTGGCCCGGGGGCTGAGCGAAGGGAAGTCGTCGAAGTAAACAGAGCTGGGGACCAAGAGGGCCTCGTTGATAAGGAAGGAGATGGCTCGGCTGACGCGAACAAAGCCATATACCGAGCCGTCCGCCCCGAAGGGGAGAGACTCGGAGATGTAATACAGCGGTTTGCCTCCCTCGTCATGGTGGCAGAGGACCACGAGGTGCTGCTGGTTCCGCGGCACCGCCATCTGTTTATAAGCTTATCGATGCAGCGCCCAAGCCACTCCGAGGTAGGAGCCAGGACCCGATCCCCGCAGAGGGTTTCGCCCGAGGACAGGTCCAGTCGAACATAGCGCTTGCACGCCATCCGGCCAGTCAATTTGATCATGGCCACCACGCAGTCAAGGTCCTGCAGTCGAAGCCGTTCGCTAGAGGAGAAAGAAGAATTCAAGCCCGATGCGCGACAGTCATCAATGACACGAGGCTTGGCTTTGGAGCCCTGAAGCAGCACGAAGCGCGGAGTGGCGACCCAATCTGATCGCCCCAGAGCAGCGGTCACCTCGGCCTCGGATCTGTAGGGACCTGAGATGAAACCGGCATCGACCTCCGAGGCCCCGAGGTCGGAGAGGGTCTTGGCATCCGACGGGCAAGATGGTCTTCGATGAAATCAAGCGCCTTCTCCAAGACGACTCTCGTTCCAGCTGTTCCGTGGGGATCGCCGCAGGCCGGTAACGGTGCTCAGCATAAGGAGGGTGGTCCTGGCAGCCCGTAAGCGTCGGCCCATCACGAAGGAGCTTCCAGACCTGAGGGTCGTCATAGTTGTACATCTCGAGAAGCTTCCGAAAGAGCAGCAATCGCTTCCCCTTAAGAACAGACTGGAGCTCTGGTGAGAAGGAGGCATGAAGTTTTTCTTCATCCGGTTGAAGCTGATCGGCTAGGTTTTTGACCTTCTCCATGAACGAGGCCCTGGCTCGCACGATGTCAACGGGGCTGCGGGTCAGGTTCGCGAAGAGGGCCTTCTTGAAGGAGTCGGTCACTGAGCTGGGCCCAGCCATAGGGTGCTGAAGGGCTCGGGCTCGCTCCACGAACTCGGCCGGGGTGGCATAGATGCCAACAGGAACTTTATCCCCCGAAGACGGCCCAGACTCCGAAGTCACAGACCCTGAACCGCCAAGGGACCCTGAACCCGGAAAGGAAGACCCCTCAAAGTGATCGAAGGCCCCGTGAATGCCTTAGACAACTCAGGCACGAGTTGGCGCGACTTGCGCTTTTGCTGGAGTTCATCTCCAGCTCGGGCAACCGCCTCGGGAGGGCGGTAGCTCAGTTGCTGGCAGCAGGCCTGAACGATGCATTGAACGAACGCTGGCGGGTGAGTCGGGGGGCCTGCTGCGATCCTGAAAGGAGCATGTTTATGGCTGGGGCCCGGGCATCGAAGCAACAACGAGTGCAAATGCGACAGGTTGGTGAGAAAGCGAATCGGAGCGGGTCGGGGGCCTCCTAACATGCAAAAGTCGGCCACTGAAGCTTGCAAACAATCGCGGCAGTCTTTAAAATCCGAATGGGATTCAATGCACGGCCAAAGGAAGGAAGCATCCGGGGCTTCCAGGCACACAAGAACTCCCTTGTCCAGGGCCCATCGGAGGACCCGCGCGCAGAAGCAAAAGAGCTTGTTCTCGTTCTGGACCTGAGCTGAGTGCTTATGCGAAAGGCCACTTAGACCCCAAGGATGGGTATCAGTTCGCGGGGCGGGGCACTTGTCAGATGCAGGATGCGAGGCCGGCAAGGCCCGAACTCGGGACCGCATGGCGGTACGACATGGGGGTCTCAGGTACATCACCGAGGGCCTAAATTCCTCCAGGACTTGACAAGCAAAATCTTGGCCGGAGGGAGTACCAAGTTGGCAAATCAGTGGCTGGTGCTTGTGTCGGCCTGGCGGCAAGGAAGAATCTATCGCCAAGGTGTCCCAGCCTATCTTACGAAAACCCGCAGCCAGGGATCCCTCTTGCGAAAACACCTGAGCAAAGGAAGGGCACTTTGTGGGAGCCCCGTCCGTGCCGTGGAGAACGCGAGGGGGCTCACGGCCCGCTTGGTTCAAGTCTGCGGGGCTAGGCACACGGAAGCCTAAGGCAGTTAAGCACGAGAGGTCCTCAGCAGAAGTGTGTTCCAGCGCCTGAAGACAGTAGGCAACTAAGACCACCCTGCGACCCGGAGCAGGTCTCATGCCGCAAATGTTTTGCACAAAGCAGCACAGGATGCTTCGAAACTGGCAGCAAGGCGCCTAGCACGGACTCGTTCCCAAGATTCCGGTTCTCGTAGGACAAGCCAGGAGTCCTAGGGGTGTTAGCGGGCCACTCGACCCACAAGTCGCCGCCTGAAAAGTCACTGAGCCCAACGACCAAGTTATCGCCAGGGGCATTGAGAGCATCGGTGTGCACAGAGGTCTCCACGGAGTCGAAAATGATTATCGAAGAAAACTTATGGCTAGGGTGAACTTGGGTCACAAAAGAAGCCAGGACCTTGGTTGAATTCGGAAACAGTCGCGAGTTGCGCCTTAGTGCAACCTTGACTCTAGCATAGAGCCCTGTTGTGAAAGAATGCCCCAGCTTATGTGCGTCGCGGGCTCCGCTCTGCTCCTCCTTGGGGAGGAGGTCGAAAAGCTTTACAATGTCCCCCTCTGACAAGGCTCCTCGTTGCTGAAGAAGAGAATTAGCGAACGACTCGGCCGTGACAGAAGAAGATGCTGAAGAGCGGGGGCTCCGAGATCGCAGGGGGCTCGCGTCATCCGGGAGTCAGTTGCCCTTGGTCGGGCATTCGCAGCCAGGATGCTCCTTGAGGCAAAACCAGCAAAGATGAAAGCCCTTGGCGCAACGTTGCCCAGCCTTTTTCTTGGCCCAGCACTTGCCACGACTGTAAAGAAAGCAAAGTGGTTTACCCTCCGGTGTTGTGCTATGGGCCCCTTCTGGAATTGCGGGAGGAGTCGGGGCACTCTCGGTCGATGGGGCCTTGCCCGTCTTGCCTTTGTCCTTCCCGTCCTTCCCTTTTCCTCGGCCCCTCCCGCGAGGAGTATAGGGCTCCCAGCGTGGGAGGGTCGGTTGCCGAAGTTCATGCTGCGGGGAGAGGTAGGAGAGGACATCATTCGACATGCAAAGGCGCTCGATCACTGCATCGCAGGTGGGGTTCGCCCCAGGGCGAGCCACAATCTTTCCCCGGACTTCCTCAGCCAGAAGAACCCAAAGACGTTTGTCGGCATCCAAGATTTGCTGTAAGGTAACCGGCCTCATGTTCTTTGGAACTTCACGCTCACGGACCGTGAACAAGTAAGTGTGCCAGGCCTCGGACACTTGGAAGCTTGCCAGGCCTGCCAAATCCATAGCCAGCGACTGTGCGAGGGCTCCGTCTCGGGAGACCATGTGATACCAGTCAGACGCCTGCGCTGAGCATCGGCACGAGCCGTCCTCTCGGATGTGGGCAGCTTTTTGATGACGGAGTCCGAGCCATGTTCCTGTCGAAGACGAAGATCCCGAACCGCCAAACCATGAGCCTCCCAGAAGAGACGTCTCAAGCATGAAAGCTGCCCCGCATCTGGCTCCCCTGAAAGGGAAGAAGTGAGCAGATCGACCAAGGGGCTTTCGTCCGCGCTGCCGGGCTGGTTTGGGACGCTGAACGCGTACTGCCCGAACGTTTTGAAGCCTGAAGCGATGAGCGAGTCGATGTTGGAAGAGCTCACTCCTAACTGCAAGGCCCTTCGTTTGAACTCTACCTCGGAGTCCAGCTCGGATGTGGCCATGGCACCCCTTCGACTTTGAACTCTAGGGTTATCCTGTAAGCCCCCGAGCTGTGACAGATCGAAGTGTCGAGATCAAGCTCAGATGACACGATCTCACTCAGGTAGAGGCTGGCGTATACTCTGGCCGTCAGGAAACAGAAATTTTTACCGGAGGCGCCCAGCTTGATTTCGCAACACGGGTGCGAGGCTGGGGCCGCCACGATGGGGCACCGATTCTGCAACAGCAGAGCCCCCACGTACACACCGGGAAATCCCTTCTCGATGTCGTCTGCAAGCACGGTTGCCGGAGAACGACACGATGCAGGGCCACCGAATCAGCACGCGTTTGCTGAGGCCCGAACTGGTGAGGGTGACGGTGCGTTACCAGCGAAGCACAGCGGGCATTCGTTTCGACATATTGACTGCTGAGGCCCGTTCGGCACCAACTGCACACAAGAGCATAGCGATTTTTAAGTCGCAGTCGGAGCCGGATCATCCGTCTTTCTCGAAGACTATGCTGCAATGTTTGCAAGCTTGCAGATCGCCCTCCTGTGTTGATACGTCTGTGACACAGGAGTAGTGCTTGTTCAGCGCACGTCCACACAGAAGCTTACGCAAGTCGTAGGTGGCGTGCATGATCCCTGAAACGTTATGGACACACAGGTGATCACGGGGAACTGATGACAATGCCTCAGGAACGACCGCAGCACCAACTCTCCCGCCTGGCTCCAAAGAGGTCGAAGGATCGACCCCGTCTAAATCGGTCTCCGACTCCGAGTTTGACGGGGCGCGCTCACGATCGTTCTCCGCCTCATCCGCAGACTCCTCGCCCAACAGCTGCGCAAACCGCCTAGCTCGCCCACGATCAGGCGAGAAGGTGCCATCAATGATCTTGTCGAGGAGGCGGCGAGTCTGCACGGCGAGCGGGGTGTAGCTGTCCCGACTGTAAATGAGCACGGAGCGGGACTCCCTGTCAAAGTGATGACCCATGAGTTTTTGGACCACCCACCATGCTTGCTTATCCACGATAGCAAGGTCGCCTTGAGGCCGTGGCTAGTGATGTTCTCGACGTCCAACGGGGAGGATCCCGCCATACACAGCAACTCGCGAAGCCACAGTGTGGCCTCTGTCGAAGACACAGGGCCTTGGCCGAAAGAGCTGGTCCTCTCGCAGTAAGTCGGGAGAGATGGCCCCGTTGCATCCATCCCAAAGTGAGCACGAGAAGCAACCCAAGCGTCGGCCCAGGGTCTCTCGTAGAGGCCTTGTCCCAAGCATATAAGAGGCAGCAGCAGAGATTTGTCATGGGAAGCCTGTGAAGTCTTATGCTTGGAGGTGGCAGTTTCCACCAGTACAATTCGCCCGTACCTCGACAGGATAATCTCCACGAGGTGAAGAGAGTCATCCCACCGAGCGCATGCGAAGAGAGCAAACAGTATCTGGCCCCCTATCAGGGAGAACAAGCTCGGCGCCCTCTCCACGACGAGCTTCTCGAGAGACCAAACCTGGTCCGAAGTCAAGACCTGAGACTGCTTAGTGGGACGCTTCTTGCTCATCTCGCCCCGCGCCAGACCCTCACATCTGGCAGAAAACACGAGGTCCTTCGGCTGGTCCTTAATCTTAACTACACCGTGAATGAACCTCAGAGACGACAGGAGGGACGATGCCGCCGTAGCCCCCCGTTTCGCTTCCCGAAGGTTGTTGAGAAAGTCGTAGAGGAGCTCTTCGACGAAGTTAAGCGGGGGGACCCCTTTGTCATTAAGAAAAGAGCAAAAAGGCCAAAGCGAAGAGACCCGCTTCACCAGAGTCCCAGTGCTCTTAGAAGTGAAAGCGTCCCTGAAGCTCCNNAACAAGCTCCTCATCCTGAAGAGCCCCCGCCGCATTGACCAAGGCACAGCCAAGCTCCGAAGCAGAGGGGTCCTGCAAAACGATTGTCCGAAGCTTCCTCAGCTGCAAAGTCCGAACCTCGGACTCTTCGCGGTGCAGGGTTCCCAGCCGCAGCCGCTTCCGCATGAAGGCCGGGTAAGAGTGGCTTGCCGAAGCCGTAAAAGCAGATACTGCAGGTTGAGATGCAGGCACAAAGAGGTCTGCTACCCCCACAGAATGATGCCGAAACGATGGCTTCAAATGAGAAGGCGGAGCCCAGATACCTCTCTCCCAAGGAAGCTTGAGCGTATCCTCCTCAATGCACTTACTGATAGCTGAAGCCAAAAAGTTTTCATAAGACATCCGCTGGCCGTGGCTGAGGTCCAGGTCGGTGCCACGCGTGCTCGATGACGACGAAGAAGGAGGGGCGAAGAGAGCACGCGGCTCTGATGAGATGCCAGCACCTGCCGAGATGCCAGCACCTGGCGGGTAGGCAGACCCCGATAGGGCGGGCCTGGTCCATGACCCATCGGAGTCCTCATGAGGTGAGCCTGCCGACTCCCCCCCATCTAAATCAGGCGAATATTGCTCATCTCCAGACATGGTTCAAAGCCCTCGCTGCACCGCAAGAAGCAGCAAGAAGCAGCGAAATTCGGATCGCAAGTACCAGGAAACAAGCAGAAGCTGCAAACGTTCTCCAGTGGACAAGTAGTTCCAGATAGTGACAATGACGGCTCTGCCTGGAACAGCGATTCGAAACTGGTCGCGAGCAAAGGCTCCTGCTCGTCCATGGCCGGAAGAAAAAGTTGCCCACCGAGGGCCCCGAATGCTTGAGATAGCAAAACGAAAGCGCGGGCCCTCTTCGACTGCAAGTCATGTTGGTAGAGACTGTCAAGACATGCGTGGGAAATAAAGCATGCACAAAACAATTTGCGCAAAGAGGGAAACGAAATACAATCTGCAAGGGTTTCCCTTAAAGACGAAAACGAAAGAAGAAAATAAAAGAGGTACATGCGATGTATGGAAAACCGCTCGGGGTCTCGCTGCCCCACCCAAAAGAAAGGTATATCAACTACGTTGACGCTGACC